CAGATTGGGCACCTTGTGTGAAACTCCTCGCACATTTGGGGATTGTGAAGAGTCACAGCTTGGGGTGATGTGGAGCCAACTTTACGTCCTCAGTGTCTGATAGTCCTACCAGGTATCACTGGTGAATGCAGGGGTGGGGTGTGTGTGTGTGTATGTGTGATTTTTCTTTCCAAGCTGACTGATGTTCCTTTCTTCAAGGCATTTATAACCCATATCTTAGCGTTATCATTGAAGATTTCTTTCCAAAGGAAGAAGCTCATCTTCAGTCCTAGATTATCGTATGACATCAAGAGTAAAAGACAAACACAGCATAGGCCTCAGGACCAGCAGTGAGCCAGCGGCAGGGAGCGTTGGTGCACAGCCAGCCCTCCTCACTTCACCTCTCCAGTCTAGCAGCCCCATCTGCAAGGCGAGGCTGTGCTGTGTGCCTGGGAAGGGAAGGGCAAGAAACAAACGAGACCCTCCCATAAAGAGCCTTGACGCAAACACGCCAACCACGGAACCTACTGTTCTGTTACCCGTTTCCTTTAGGCTTCCAAGAAAAAGCCGTTCTTTTGTCTACTTGAGTAATGGGAATACCTTTCGTGGGTGTACAAAGGTGTTTACTAAATCAAGTTTATGTATTTTATTTTGCACATCACAGCTGCTGTGGTCACAGTCATAATTAACTCTAACTGCAATTAAAACATAGAGTAACCACTGTCAGCCTGAAAACTGGGCTGAGCAACAGGGAAGAGGACTTTACCACTCAGAGCTACAGTGATGTCACCGGCCTTTGAACTCAGGCGAGAGAACCACATACCATGTCCAGACAAGGGCAAAAGAGAAATGTCTTAAATGGATGAAGCTGGATAAATAAGAAATGGAGTAGGGAGCAGGGAGGAAAGATTTGGTCAAAGATATGAAGATAATCCAGGAACCACTGAAATAATTGTGGATGACTCTTTCCACTGAGTCTATTTTGCCGTTAATTAAAACTGAATGGCCCATGATGGGAGGTCTCAGGCAGGAGTGCACAGGGAGGTGGGGGTCCCTGGGTGTGGCACCTTAGAACAGGGCCTCTGGAGCCAGGCTGTGCCTTTAGCTCTGCCGTGTACTAGTGGTAAATAATTGAGCTTCCCTGCACTTCAATTTCTTTATCTGTATAGTGGAGATAACAATAGTAACGTCTACAAAATAGGCTTCTCCAAGATAAAGTGAATTAACAGGCATAAAGCTTTCCCTACACTGGCAGCACACAGCAGGTACTGAAGCCTGAGCTGTTACTATCCCTTCTTCCAGAATGTAGTTGTGAGCAGTTTCCACCAGGATTTGTGAGGATTTGTGAATCCTTTTCCTTGAAGGTAGAAAAGAACACTTAAATATTTGGAATAAGAAGATGTAAAAAAGAAACAAACAATGTTTGTAAAATTCCTGTAAAAAGTTCCTTCTTATCCAGAAAGTTTGCTGACTTGCTTCTTTAATGTTTTCATTAGACAACAGGGTCTCAAATAAGGCAGAATAATCAGATTCAAACTTGTCTTAAAAGAGGAACAGACTAGGTCTAGAGGTCCTCCTATTCTACCATTTCTGACCGCAGGGCACTAACGAAGGACTCAGGAACAACTGCCCCTGTGAGCTTGGCCATGACTCGTGGAGGAGACTCTCTGTCCTTTTTATGTGAGCAAACTGAGTCAGCTCATTAATCCTGGACCTCTTTGGTGCTCAAAGCAAAGTCACTTTGTCAGAGAGCAGAAGGGCTGGCGAATGTTGCTTAGCTCTGTCCTTAGTAGGAAATATAGGGGCTCAGCGCCTGTGGCTCAAGTGGCTAAGGCGCCAGCCACATACACCTAAGGTGGCAGGTTTGAATCCAGCCCAGGCTCGCCAAACAACAATGATGGCTGCAACCAAAAAAATAGCTGGGCGTTGTGGCGGGCGCCTGTAGTCCCAGCTACTTGGGAGGCTGAGGCAGGAGACTC